CTTATGATGTCCCACGAGGTTAGGAAAAAGCGTCGAAGGAGGGCGGGAACCAGGTAAGAAAGACTCCTCTCTAAAGACGAATATTCATTTTCAAGTCACTTCCAGAGTTTATTTCTTAATTGTTATCTTCTACCTTCTTTGAAGAATTATTTTATTATAAGAATAAAGGTGTCTTTGAATTAAGAAAAAATGTGCGCCGGACAATGGTGGCAAACTCCTTTAATTCCAGCACTCGGGAAGTAGAGGTAGGTGGATCTTTGTGAGTTCAAGGCCAGCCTAGTCTACAGAGTGAGTTCCGGGACAGACAGAGCTACACAGAGATCCTGTCTTGAGAAACCAAAAGAAAGAAAAGAAAAGAAAAAGAAAAAAAAAGGTGCACATCTCTTACTCCAGAAATTCCAAATTCTCTGGACATTTAACCTAATAATAAACTTATAAGTGTGACTGAGTAAATTTTACCTTAAGGACTTCCAATAAGTACTTGTGTGTTTTTAAAAAATCAACCAAGACAAGATAATTATTGTGGGTTCCCACAAGCAAAGGCTAAACAGCCATTTAAAAGAGCATGTAATTCAGGCTGGGGGGGGGGATGGCTCTTTGAGGAAATTGCCTGTTGTACTTGATTGAGTTCAGATCCTTAGCACCCACATAAAAGCTGGGTGACCTCCAGCACTGGATGAGGAAGGCAGAGCCCTGTGGATCCCAGAAGTTCACTAGCCAGCCAGTCTAGCTGAAAACCATGCATGAGCTTCAGATTCAATGAGAGACCCTTTCTCACAAAAGTAAGGTGGAGAGCAATAGAAGAAGACAGCCAGCATTGACTGCTTGCCTCCACATGTGAACACACAGGAAGCACAGATCCCGAGTGTGCACATGGACACACACACACACATGCACGCATATCATCATACAGTTTCATATTTCAGCCAGTCACGGTGGTGCACATCTATAGTCCCAGCACCCAAGAAGCTGAGCCATAGGATCACAAGTTACAAGCCAGCCTGGGCTACAAAACAAGACCCCCGTGCACAAGAAAATATAAATATATTTCACATGAAAAGCAAATATGAACAGTTTGTGAACTGGGTTTTTTCATTCAAACTTTAAAAAACAACTTTACTGAGGTATAATTGAACTTCAGTAAACTGTAAACTTTTTAAAACATACAGTTTTGTAAGTTTTAACATACACTCATAAAACTATCACTACTATAAAAATAGCATACATATTCATCACCTCCAGAAAGTTCTACGTGTCCATAGTGGTCTGTCCCTCCCATCTCTCCAAATCTCCCCAAACCAATGATTTGCAGCCTGTACAGTATGATTTTTGGAAGAAATAGACTTATGTGTAAACAGAGGTGTTAGATTCTGGAAACAGTAAAAGAAATTTATCTAAACAGTGTGGAAGCTGATTATGGAGACTTTGGAAGTTTCTTTTTATTGTTCATCTATATTTGCTAAAGTGTATCTGATGCATACCAGTTGCTTTGTAGTAAACAGGAGTCATTGAAAGTATTTAAACATCTGTCACAAATGCTCAAAGGTAGCATAATTACCTGACGTATGTAAGCCATAGGTTAGACCCCTAAGCACTGCAAATCATCATCGCCATTGCCATCATCTGTCACACATAATTCACAAGATGGGTGTGGTGCACAGGCATTCGATAAACGCCTTTTGAATGGGGCACCTGTTGTTGACATGGAATTGCCTGAGAAATATTTCTTAGTTGTTCTTCTGATCATATTTGTGTGACAGCTGAGGGGTGCTGAGTGTAGACACCTCATCTAGAATGAGAGCCATATGTGTGCTGATGGAAGTATGAATTTTTGCTGGGATGCTAGCTGTAGGAATCGTGGATACAGGGTTATTGAAGGTTGTAGTCCCAAGAGCATCATGAATGCAATGTCTGTAAGGGTGACAACTATAAAAACGATAGAAGCAATAGAAATATCTGAAGAGATGACAGCTAAGGTGTGCTGACAGTAGTGGGGATGCTAGCAATGACAGTTGTTGGGGTCATGGTTGTAGAATAGTGACTATGTGCAATGGCAGCAGTAGTGATGGCCATGGAGATAGTGGCCATAGGGGTGACCATACTGGTAATTTTGATAGCTGCAATGACTTGGAATTTGCAAATTGACTGGGGGCATTTACTCAACAGGCAGAGACATTGTTCACGTTCTAATTTCCGAAGTTTCCTCGGTGAGGATAGAGCCTGAATAAGCCAGAGAGTAAAAGAACTGCTGGTGAATGGCATGCGACAACAGGATTGGGGCTTTTCTCTGATTGTTCAACTCAAGATCTGTCTGCATCAGAATCTCTGGAGACTGAAGCTGGGACTTCCTTCCTCCCTAGAGGCCAGCAGGGGCCATGATTGCTGTAAGAGTAGGTCACGTGGCAAGGTTTCCTGTATGCTGCTGCTGCTGCTGCTGGGTGTCCATGGCCCGTACCCCGAAGCTGCCACTGCAGCAGTAAGTGTGGCAGCCGGAGGCTCTGTCTATGCCATACCACCTGACTGGTGCTGGTGAGACTGGGCAAGAGACCTTTGCATCTTAGCACCTTGGAAAACAGAGCAGGAGTGCCTCTGCAGGAGACGACCATGTTGCGTCGCAAACCCTCCAACGCCAGTGACAAGGAGCCCACTCAGAAGAAAAAGGTGAGGAGAATCTTTGAGTGCTCACTCTTTCCTGATCTCCTCCACACTCTCCATCAATCCCCTCCTGAACTCTTGGTAGGGGGAAGTTGAAGCAAGACTGTGTGTTGAGTTTGTAGGTGAGTGAAGGCCATTCTCCCAGAAAGCAAAAGGATGGGCTCAACGGTCGCTAGAGTAGTAAGAGTACAGAAGACGCTTTTTAAACTCTGTTGGATAGAGCTATGAGTCTAGAGTTATAGAATACAACCCTACAACGATGAGATTAAAGAACTTAAGGGCTAGAGCCACAAACTTCAGCTTGAGAATACAGGGCTCTGGTCAAATCCCAAGAGCATACTTAATTCTGTCTCCCCTAGCCTGGTTCTGTGTCACTTCTGTTCAAGTGTGTCCTCTTGGGAACCACCTGATTCAAAGGCCTATCCCCAGGCCTATCCAGCCAAGGTAGCCCAGGCTCCCTACTTTTTGGCAGGAGCCATGGCCCTGCCTGCTGGGCTCCTATCTACTGCAGCTCCCCAGGCCACTAGAGATGAAGCAGTAGGCACTTTTCAGACTCAGGAGAAGGGCCCACCAAAATGCAGTGGAATTCGGGAGGGTTACACGGGTTCTTTCCCGGTGGGAGAACTCATGAAAAATGAGAAATGAAGCTGATGACACGGTGAGTAGGTGTGAGAGCTGAGGAGGAGAGTTTTGTTGGGGGAGGGAGATTTCAAAGGCCAGGAAGGAAGGTAACTGTCATGGATGGCTGAGGTGTTCATCTTCCTGAGGCAGCAGCTAGGCTGAAAGATTCTTGAAGACTCTGTCACACGCAGATTGCTCTGATTGTGTGGAGAGAGTTCATTTTATTGTAGGATTCTCCCAGGCAATCTGCCTCCACAGCCTACATGTCTAGTGAGAGCACAGGAATGTTCCAAAGCAGGCCTGACTAGATCCAAGCACCCAAGCCATAGTCAGGGGCCTCCAGGACTCTCACTGTGCCTGATCAGTTTCCCCTGGGATTCAACTCAGCTCCACTATGGGGGAGCCCCCTTGTCAGTTCCCAGGCAGAGGGTGACAGCTGAGAAACAAGCTCAGAGCACTGGGGTGTGCATCCTGTCCCATCTCTGAAGATCTGG